AGTATTGCTTGGTCCACTCGGTTGTGCGAGTCGCTAGAAATTTACAGTCCGTTGAAAATATGCATCTCAAAGCGCGTATACAAGTACTACTGAACTTCATATTAATATTCGGAATAAAATCTTGTTCGAGTCAAAACAGTGAACTGGAAGATACTTTCGACTGCAACTGTGATCTCGAAATAGACATTATTAAACACTTCAGCGCCCAATTGGAATCACTGCAACAACTTGTGAATCAAAGTCAGGCACAAATTTTGAAGCTGCAAGCTGAGCAAAAGAGGTTATGTGCTGTGTGATACCGTTGTCCACACTGTAGTTCCGAAATTTACAAATTTTAAAATTCTTCTTCCTTGCAAAATAGTCCAAGCCGACCCACCAATTGCATGGAGGCAGCCGCTGGTTCACGTAAAAGTGGCATATATACCATTAAATCTCAGCGATTTGGTGATGAGCCATTCAAGGTGTGGTGTGATGAGGATACGGACTTTGGCGGTTGGATTGTCATCCAGCGACGCCTAAGTGCGGAAGTGGATTTCTATCGAGATTGGCAACAATATAAGCAAGGATTTGGGGAATTGTCGGGCAATTATTGGATTGGTTTGGATAAATTGCACGATCTAACCGCGAGCTGTGAGCAAGAGTTGTATATAAAAATGGAAGCATCCAATGGCACAAAGTACTATGCAAAATATGATTTATTCGTCATTGGTAGCGAAGAGGAAGATTATGTTTTGCGAACCCTTGGTAATTACACAGGAAATGCTCGAGACTGTTTAAGGTATCATGAAGGCAGTAAGTTCTCAACATTCGATCGCGATAATGCTGGTAATTGCGCGGAAAATTTTAGAGGAGCTTGGTGGTACAAAAAGTGTTACCAGAGGTGAATTCAAGTATATTTTGCAAATTTACGAATACATTTATAAATATTTTCATGCGTATTTCAAACTTTTTTTTTATAGCAACTTGAATGGAAACTATTATCAAAAACAGAAAAACGGCGATGGTATAACGTGGATTGGCATACATAGGTATGAGTCACTAAAGTTTGCGCAAATGATGATACGCCCAACAGAGAGATGTATGGTGCGGCTGTCGATGAAACATTTCTCACCTTAAGAAAAAAAAACATAAACATAGAAATAAACCGACTTTATTAAGTTTTTTTGAATAAATTCGCACTTACATACTTATATACATAAGCAACTTGGGACTTTTTGTAATAAAAATTATGGACGAAAATGAAGTTTTCTCGATTAGTTATAGATCGACGCTTAAGCAATATGCCAGTGTTTGGCAGAGTTTCTCCTCTGATTTGTGGCGTGCGCCTTGATGCTGTTACTCAAAAGGGGAGGGACCTAGAGTTTTACGTTCATTATCTATATGCATAAAAGTGGTGTGAAAAATGTATAGTAATTCATAAATTGAGAACGGGACCCTCCGGAAAGTCGGGAAATTGGAAAAATTGAAAATTTATTTTTTTTGTACGGAATTTTTTGTGCAATTCCTTCTGAATGGCTTTCGAATGGAGAAATATAAAATTCCAAGTGGA